TCTATCTAAAAATATTGCCTGGACCTATAAACAAGGAATAATTTTAAAATAATGCATTGGTCTCACCATGCATAACAGTAAAGCAAGAGTTAATACACGTTCTCGCCTATTTTCTTCTTTGCCTGCCTTTTGCCAGAATAGCAAAATCTGCAGGAAATGAAAGCAGTAATGTGGAAAGTGAACTTTGTTCCCTTTCTAAACTGTTTTTTTGTTAGTCCTACATTTACACGGTATCAGCACACACCCTGATACGGCAGCAACGTATTTGCAAAAAGAAATATGACTTCACACAAGGAAGTGTAAGTTAGTTCACCACAGGATGGAATTAAGTTACAGTTCTCAGGCCTGAATTTGGTTGCAGCATTTTCCCCAACCTTGAATACTTAGGTAGAACAGCTAGATCTGAATGTAAAAGGCATGCAAATTGAAACCAGTTCAAAGAATGTACACCTTTAGGTGCCAGGCAAAAGCGTTCCTTTTTAACTTTGGTTGATTTGATTGACATCCTATGCCCTTTTAAAATGTGGTGCTTTTTTTGGTGGGGGTGTTATTGGGTTTTTTTTTTATTATGCATTTTGTGGAGTTATATTTTGATTTTATTCTGTGAACCGCCCTGAGACCTCTGGTATAGGGCAGAGTGTGTGTGTGTGTGTGTGTGTACATAAATAAATAAATAAATAAATAAATAAATAAATAAATAGTTGTCTAGCAACTGTAATTCTGTAAAAAAAGAAAAGAAAGTAAGTACAAAAGAGCTCTAAGAATCAATACTCACAATCTTCCTAGAACTTCCCAGGCTCTTTGAAATAAAAAATATCAGAGAACAAGCAAAAATTTCCTGCCAGTTTTACTTTCTGGTGTAGACATGAAAACTAGAATACCAGAGAGCTGCAGAATATGGGACTTATGCATTTCCAAACAGCAGTTTCAAGTTGAAGCCTAAACTGCGACGTCAACCCCCCCATGTTATTTTTGATGTGGCACAATAAATCTGCTATTGGTTCCCCAGATTTCTTCCCTTTAAAGCCGGGGGGGCAGGGGGAGAAATGGGTAGTTAGGCTTTATCAGAGCAGCACACTGTAAGGGGTGATTTAACCCTTCCCCAATTGCACCCCCTCCAGCTGCTATTAGCACCAAAAGGATGGAGACTACAGGTAGTGGTATCATATATGTACTTTCCTGCTACTGGGAACAATAGCTGTTTTAGGAGGGGTCAATTTTATCAGGAAAATGGTACACAGAAAAGGTTAAAAACATCACCCATTAATGCTGCTGCCCCAATCCAATATAAGGGCTCATTAGGCTATTTTAAAATATTAGGAGATCTTTTTCCACCCTTAATAGGACAATGGATTAGGCTGAGATCCATCAGGTTTTGTTGGTGGGAAACCATGGTGGTGTTCCCCAAGGAATGTGACAATTCTGCCAAATTTCCTGCAATTGTGGCATTTCAAGTGCTGAAGGCACAATGTTTGTTCATGTTCAAACTGTGTATGCCTCTTCCCCCCACCCCTTGCAGTCATGTCAGCTCCTCATACAGTGATATGAGTGGCACCAGAAGGCATAGAGAAAAGCAACATATGGCCTGCTCAGAGGAGTCCTTCCTGTCTGGGCAAGATTCTCACAAGCCCATTCTCACATTTGGATGAATTATAACTTAACTGTTGTTGTCAAACACACATTTCGGCTCAAAGCTGTCAGTTCCTTACTATTTCCGATCTGTTTTCATAGGTAGGCAGCAAACCAGGTTTCTTCTGACTGTGGCCACACAACCTATTCCAAGTCTCGCCACCTTTCACACCATTAACCCTTTGGCATATAGATGATTGCAACAAAACAATGCTTCAGTGATCAGGGAAACCATTTTAAAATGGCATCGTGTTCCAACAGCTACTTTGAGAATCTGCTTCGACTGATGCTTCCACATTATATATTAATCCTATATAGTAAATAGTGAACACATTCTCCAAATATGGATCCTTGAATTACATAAGGATTATGCAGTATCCACACACAATGGGAAGGTAAAATCAGCAGGCTTGGGCACAAACACATGCAAACAAAAATCATTTAGGAAAAACCCTAAAGGGGGAAACCACAAAACAGCTCAGTGGTTACAGAATGCTGACTGTTGGGGCAGGATGGGAAAGAGGGAGTGCTGAAATGGAACAGAATATCCTGAAACAGGGCATGGCTGGCTGGCATCCTGAACTTCACACTGCAGTATTTTGTTGCTTCTCCCACTTGTGCTTATACAGTGTCAAAGCAGAACATGCACTGAACCTAGTATATTACATTGATGTGTCACACAGGTTTGTGGGGTTTGGGGAAAGGGGTAAAGATGTTAAGAGACATTTTGCATTAGATGCCACGGATATTTTACTCCATGCGTCCTACACCAAGGATTCCTGGACTCTAGGCATGGCAAGCTTCTCAAAGTCAAGAAAGAAAGGTTTAACTGCCCTTGCCCATATGGGAGAAATGCTTTGTGCCCCTTGTGCTCAGAATGAGTCTAGGTCGATAAATGGAAATAAGGTGGCAAGGAAAGCACTGCATGGAATAAAATGCCCTGCAAAATGCAACAATACTCAGTGTTTATATGGCGGCGCACATATATTATGTCAGTAATATTGTTACCACCATCATGTAAAGTGAGGATTTTGCCCTATTGGCCTAGACTCAAGGCACAAGGATTTTGTTAACAGCCTTCAAATCCGTGCAGAGTTCTACTCACTGAAATGGGCCTCAAAAAACCCTTCCAAGTCAGCCTACCGGCATGGGATATGAGTGGGCCATATTCTGCCTACAGACAGGATTCAGATGTGTAAAATGTTTAGGGGAGGGGAGGAGAGAGAAAGAATGTCAGGGACAAACAGACACACATTGTCAACAAGGGGGCCCTCCTCATACTTCCAGAGTCCAAGTCGTAAAACTCTAGCTCCCCCCCCCCACCAATGGAGAACACAATATAACAAGCAGTCTGGCCACAGTAATAAGCTACAGAAAGATGCTTTTGATCAACATTTAGGCAACAGCATACGATACAGTTTTATTACATTAACAGCCAAGTCTCCTTTCACAACACGGGATGGCATTCAACGCAAGTCCTACTCGCTCAGAGTTGAAGTTAAAGGACATGACCGACATAGGCTCACTAATTTTAATGTGTCTACTCTGAGTAGCACTTGGGTAAAATTACACAAAGGAACACTCAGTAGTTCTTGTGGGCTTATTCTGAAATACTCAAGAGTTCTTCCCAAACCAAAAAGCCAACTCTCAAAGCAGACACTCATGCATGGAGGGATACAAAGTATATTGAAGGAAAAATAAAGTGTAAAACATACCAATGGGGTCCCCAACATACTAACAACACAGTATGGACAACATGGACAACACAGGACCCTGGAGGCACCCTTCTTGGCACCAATCAAGACAATCTTTACCATTTCATTCTTTTAGTTGAATGTTCTTTGCACTTTGGGGGGTTGTTTTGTTGTGGGTTTGGGCTGCTTTTCTGGCCTGTGTTTGATTTGTTTGCCTGTTTTTGGAGGGAGGGCTGGGTTCTGTGCTTTATCAGTTTCTGCTTCTTCTGTGAAATGGGCATTTTGTGGTACTCACAATTTCTTAGCTTTCCAAATGTTTTCCAAAGCCCAAAAGTGTTATTAACCCTGAGTGTAATTGCTTATACAAATGCAGCTTAAAGGGGACTCTTAAAAATAGTCCTTGAGGCAGGGGCGAGTCAGCTTAGTCCTCTTTTTAGTTATAGAACAATCTTACTCTGTCACTTATCTACATACAGGTTTTTCTTGGCTTTATGCCATTCATAAAAGTCAGGTACTTGTTAGTTATGAATGCTAATTGAAGCATGGTTTTCCAAAAGAGAAATTTAGACGTTTCGATTCAATTTTTATTCCAAACTACAGTTAAGGTATACAGTCCAGATATTTTAACACTTCCCTGCAACCCTTATAACACAAGAAAATACATATGGCTTTCAAGTCATGCTTCGGGTGAATGGAAGGGCTTAGGCAAATGGGATACCCTGAAAACTAAGAAAAAGGTCTGCATTTATTTGCACAGTATTGAAATGCCTTTATATCAAGAATAAGGAATGTGTGGTCCCCCAGACACTGTTGGACTCCAGTTCCCATCAGCTCCAACCAGTGTGGCCAATAGTCAGGGATGGTGGGAGTTGCAGTCCAAGAACATCCACAGGTTCTCCATTCATAAATCTATGGTGCTGTTGCATTTGGAGGATGGTGCTCCGTTCCAATAACCAAATCTCAAGCACAATTTGTGAGAGCAGGAAAAGTTGCAGGTGGAAAAGGAAAGCAACATATTGAGGAGTACAAAGCACTTTCTTTCCCTGCAAGCAAAGATGAAAGCATCTAAGATTTGTTTGTTGGGGAAAAGAAAAAGGACATGGGGGGGGGGGAGGCAGCGCTTGATATAAGTTTACTGAAGTTATGCATAACCTGTACAAAAATCCCTCTCTTCTTCCATAGCAGGAGAACGGGGTCAGCCAATGTAAGGGAATGGTGGTGGAACAGAAAGAAGTTCATTCTTCAAACCCTCCAACTCCCACCCGCCTTAGCTAGCATAGCCAATGTTCAGGTATGGGCGCTGCAATTCAAAAATATCTGGAGGGCAGATCCCTGGACTAAGACTTTGGTCTAATCCAAAGAAGCTCTTTTAATGTTCTTCTGCAGCTCCCAAAGCTCCTCACAACAGCCTATGGTATTGTTGCGCAATTCGTCGTAAGGTATCCAGACTAAAACGACGCCAGCTACTTTGGGAATCGGAATCCCCGACAGAGACAAGAGGAGGGGAGAGGGAATCCCGCTCCTAGATGATGCAGCGAGCTCCTTGACGGGCATTCAATCCGTACCTGCTCGAGGGGCGCCCGACATACCTGCCCCCCCCAACCGGGTGGCGCCCCCGCGGCCTCCGCCTTCTACCCGCCCGCGCTCCCCCCTGCGGGCACCCGCGTCCCCCCGTACCTTCTGGGGCGGGGTGCCGAGCAGCAGCTCGAGGTAGTAGCCGCGTCCCGAGTCCCCCTGCAGGTTGTCCACCATGGCCATAAAGTTGACGGCGCCGCTGGGGTCGGAAGCCAAGGCCAAGCCCTCTGCCTCTTGCTCCCGCTCCGCGCTGCCTCCGGTCCCGTTGCCGCCCCGCGGCTTCAGCGCCACAGGCACCGGGACGAGCGAGCCGTCGGGGGCGCTCGGCGGAGACACGCGCAGCGGGAGGCTGAAGGCAGCCCGGCCTCGCCCGGCGGCCGCGGCCACCAGGAGCAGGAGACACCCGGCTGCCAGCGCCCTGCCCATCCCGGCGCCCGGCTACGTCTAAGGGGGAGAGAGCGGCCGGCCGCGCGCCCGCGGCTCCTGGCTGCGACCGCGAAGAGGCGAGGGGACGGCGGTGCCTCGACGCCCCGGCGTCATCTCGCCCTCCCGGGGTCGGCTTGGCTCCTTCCTCGCATGCCTGCCTGCCTCGACGAACCTCGACAACCCCCGGGCTCGTCAGGAAAGTTTCTTCTGGCCAAGGCGGCGCTTCAAAGCCGCCGCGCGCGCCTCCTCCTCCTCCCTCCTCCTCTTTTTCTTTTCTTTTTTTTCTATCCTGCAAACAATTGCCAAGTAACTTCCCAAACCTCGCCGAGCAGCGGATGTGACGGGATTGGAAATTGCTCGCAGGAAAAGTCCCCCGAAGGGCGGCCAGCTCCGCAAACAACCCTCCCCGCCGACGGGGCTGCTCCGTCCGCGCCTCCTCCACGCGGCCAATCAACGCGTTGCAGAGGGAAACGCGGGTCTCCCGTTGATTCAAGTGGGGAGGGGAGGAGAGGGAGAGACCAGAACATCTTTCGGGGCGTGGGGTGGGCAGGCTGCCTTTCTTCAGCAGGGCCGGCTCGACCATTAACTAGAGTGAGTGGGTCGCCTCGGCCCGCTCACTTTGGGTGTCAGGAACGGGCAGCAGGTGAACAATTAAATAATTAACAAAGTGGTTGCAATTCTCTTGCCAGGGCAGCGAAGAGGCGCTTGTGGGAGGTTTCTGTCTCCAGGCCCAAAATTAGACTGGGCTTGGCAATTTGCTGCTCCACCCCGGGTGGTAAAATGCTTTGTTATTGAACCAAGGTTTGCGTAAGCGTATTTAAGGCTTCCAGTTACGCACAGGATTTCTCATAAACTGCTGGAAACACCGCAGTTGTGGTGTTTTTCTTCAGACATTTACTCCTCCTCCGTGAAGACAAGTGGCTCCAGGAACCCTCCTTCATCTTTCTCAGAGCTTAGTTTGCACCTTCGTTTAGGGAAGGGTGGAGGTCGCTCTGATCACAACCAGGGAGGGCGAAGATACGGATTAACCCAGGAATGGAGAGGCCCTCCAGATGTCCGTAGACTCCAACTCCCATAATTCTAGCTGTGCTAGCTGGGGCTGATGGGAGTTGGAGTCCAACAACATCTGAAGGGCCACAGATTCTCCACTCCTGGAGTAACTACAGTGGTACCCCGGGTTAAGAACTTAACTCATTCTGGAGGTTTGTTCTTAACCTGAAACTGTTCTTAACCTGAAGCACCACTTTAGCTAATGGGGCCTCCCGCTGCCGCTGCGCAATTTCTGTTCTCATCCTGAAGCAAAGTTCTTAACCCGAGGTACTATTTCTGGCTTAGCAGAGTCTGTAACCTGAAGCATCTGTAACCTGAAGCGTCTGTAACCCAAGGTACCACTGTACTGCTAGTCACCACCACAAATAGGGGATTAGTGAGAATTGGGAAGGGATTATTGGTTAATTATAAGACAGTATTTCCAGACAAACTAGAACCCCAACACATCTTTTTCTAACATTAAGAGCCAGCTTTGCCTACCCACAGTTCTCAATTCTGGAATCTACAATCACTGCCATATGTATAAGTTTCATATATGCTGTATTTTTTGCAGGAGGTAAAGTATCTCCATGTGGAACACAAAATGCAGGGAACATGGAGGACTGGGATATGCTCTTTACCTCCGTAGAAGCAGTTTTGTTCATGTTTGTTCCACCTCCAGGAGAAGTCAAGCCGCTTTGCCTTGTGAACTATTGAATGCATGAAAGAGAGGGCGGGGGGGAGAGAGAAAGGCTTGTTTCACAACACCAAATGATTGAGGCTGTGTGCCTGCATATAATTTACCATTTGTTTTTCATTGCACAAGAGTCAGGCATGATAATCACTTCTTCCTACTGCACATTAAAATCCATCCCTGTATACCTCCATTTCCGTAGAGTGTTCACCTCACCAAACAGGCAGTCCTGAAAACACTTCACTTAATGCAGTTTTTATGAATAGCTAAGGCCACCCATCCTGTTAATTACATGGGGCAGATCAAATGAGTACAACCAGACACTGCCATGAAAATAGTGAATGCTTCCCTTTCTGTTTACTTAGGAAATGTAACATATTGTGAAGCCTAACTGACCAGAGGCTGTCAGCTCCAAAGCACTTATTGTAGAGAATTCCTAGTGCATTAGGATTGCCATTTCTAAATCAAAATAGCCATTATTTTATTTAGAGGTCAGGAAAGGGAATATGTGGTAGAAATGTTTTGTCTGGTATAAGCTGCAAGTTTGTTGAATGATAAAGCTGTGATCTGTACAGATATCAGGAAAGGGAAATTGACTCTCCAGTTGTTATTGGACTAAAACTCTCATAATCTCTGGCCATGGTAGCTGGAGCTGGTGGGACCTGGAGTCCAACAATGCTGAAGGGCCACGGGTTCCTCACCCCAAAGATGAACAAAACGGAAGAGTTTAGGAATCAGTTCTATGCCAGGAGGGGCAGTATCTCCTGGCATATCAGGTGGGGGGACACTACTTTTTCCTTCTGGATAGTTCATTCACCATTGGTCCACCCCTGCACTCAGCTCTCACCTGTGCCTCCTAGAAGCTAGCAACATGTGACAGCGGCCACACTCCTGGAATGGCTTCACCTGGCTGGTTAAACAGGTGAGGATCTCAGGGCAGGAACATGCCCTGCATGCGAAGACAGGCTTTTGGTGGACTGAGTGGATGAGACCAACAGTGGGTTCAACAGTCAAGAAGACAGTTTCTGCATATGACATAGAGCATAGGAGCCATCTCCTTTTTTGCTGCTGGACTCTATGAATAAGAGAATAAAGTATTAACACAGTAAAACATTCTGACAAATAACATGCTTTAAAAAGATATTCTCGATAGAAATGATCTTATTATAATTCAGCCTTTTTAAAAGATGTGAAATCTTACACCTTCGCTAGCCCCTGGGACATTTGTCTTTGCATCTCTAAGGTAGCGCAAAAGGAAATGTCAGACTGTTTTAGTGATCTGAAGAGTGAAGCTCTTGAAACACAATAGCTAGCAAGCCCAGTCGGTGCCACAGTATTATCCCTGTGCTAGACAAAATGAAAAAATGTTCCATTCCATAATATGCACATATTTCTAGAAATACCTTAATAGTGTGCACACCTAGGCAATTACCTTCTTAATTTATGTCTAACTAGGTCAGAGCTAAATGGTTTAGTAAACACAGCACTTCTCCCACAGAGAATAGAGAACAGCAGTTTTCCTTTAACAGCCACGAATGCTTTTCTGGCCTATTGTGGGGGCAGGATCCAAAAGCAGCGGTAGGGTCATAACTTTCATTAGGATCAATTCAAATGTGACAAAGTAATGAGCAAGGCTTTGACCTCTCTGGAACTCTTCAGGCTTGATGTTAGAAAGAAGAAGTACTCAGCATGAAGGTGAAGCCCCAAAGTCTGCCACTTGTAGCAGTTTTTAAGGGGAAGTGCAGGAGTTGCTAGGCTGACTTTATGAGATTAGTATTTGCTAGATGCAAAACTCAGCTGTCTCCAGCACTGATAGAAACACAGAGTACGGTGTGAAGCAAAACAACACGCAAGTAAAGCCAAAGATTAATTTTAGGTTGCAAACTCAATAAAAGCCAAATTGGGTACTATGCTTAATGAGATACCCAAAAGTTAAGTCATTCTCTTGGCTGGATCATACAAACATTAATCAAGCTCCAAAATATTACATATTGGTTAAATATTTTCATTTCCATTTTAACAGTAAGGATGCGGAGATACTGGAATTTTTCAGGAAAGGCATACGGTTTCGAAAGCTGAGCACAAAGGATGGCTTTTCAGAAACTTGGAGACTGTACTAGAGACCTGACATTGTTTGTAGTACACTCAATCTTCTCCCCACACCCTCCTTCTTCATCGCCATGTAGCTTCATAACCATGTAAATGCCAATTGGGAAAGAAAACCTGTTTTAAGACTCCATAATTATGGCTCCCAGCTACTAAACATTAAACTTAGTCTACAATCCTATGCACACTTACTGGAGAGTAAGCTACATTAAACTCAGTGGATCTCACTTCTGAATAAACACTTCCTTAGGTTGCAATCCTAGACACACTTTTTTTAAAAAAATGTATGGTTTAGCCAATTTTTTAAAATAACCACACAAACGAGCAAAGTTAGATGTAGAACTGGGGAAGAGGGGGAGTTAGGGAAAGGGGGTTACTCTGCACACATATGTGGGAATAAGTGAATTGAAGTGAGACTTTCTTCTGACAGGCATAGGAGAGTGTGTCCTCCTGTGTTAACAAAAGTGTGATGGACAACTGCCTAGAAGCATTGCTGTCTGCCCTCCTGTGTCTCCTTAGGGAAGCTCACCAAACAATTTCAGAACTTGCACCGATTTTTATAAGCTCTCCGTAATTATGGTTTCCCAAAGTTTCTTTGATTATCTTGATTATCCAAGTGTGCCATTTGTTCACCCGCATTGTTGTATATCAAATGTAGTTATTATAACTCATTAGATCTATTCAGGAGTTGTTTTCCACACAGTCAAAATCACATGGAGGAAGAGAATGGGGCACCACCCATTGACCCCAGCATGCCCCATCGCATCTCTGCCATCCACATGATGGGGGCATGATCTCAGAGGGGAGCTTGCATGTTCAGGGGTTCTACATCATGGAGGAAGCCTAAAAATACAGATCAGATCAGGCATTGTTTTTCGCACTAGGGCCTGCTCCCCAGAATGTAGCTGGTGTTGTTCAGTGGATGCAGGGCTGCCCCACTCTCTTCCTCCGCATGATTATGATTGCATGGAGGAAAACACCTGAAGGGGGGCCATGGTGCAGCTGCTTTCATGTGGTTCCAGCCGCAGAGGACAAATGCCGCAGCAGTTATCTTTCAATACATAAAGCCTTTCAAGTGTGCTTCATCATGGTGGTCATTACCATTACTACAGCTTGGTAATGGTTTTCCTTGCATATATTCTATGCCACACTCTTCTTCTTAGGACCAGACTAGAGAACATGTTATATGAATGCAATTATTCAGTGCTTTTTTATGGGGGTATGTACTCAAGGGTCTGCAGTACTGACACCTTTCCCTCCCCCCCCCACTCCACCATGCGTGGCACGTACTGTAACAACTTTATGGTGAGTACTAGCACCATTCTTTCCCCTAAAAACACCCCACTGCATTTACGGTAGAACAACTTCAGTGAATGCACTGAATGTCTCTTCTTGTTGTT